TTGCAGAAAGCTGATGATGTCCAGCTGCAAATGCCTATGACTTGGTCTAGTGCCTCTGTTAGCACGTAGAAGAGATTACAGACTAGTAGGCTTATAGGCTGGAAGACACAACCAACAGAAACAGTGGAAGCAACAGCCAACATTAACTGAAAGAGTATGTTTCCCAGTAGTCATCAGCCTTCAGCTCTCCTATTTCCCAAGCTGCTATCAGATATGAATGTTATAACAGTAATTGAGTTTGCTTTTTATGATCAGTGCAAGGGCTTTACTGTAATACGCAGAGGCTGCTGCTGGAATTATCACAGTTTTTCTTATTTCAAGATTAGATTAACGCAATAAAACTTCACCCCTTAAAAGAGAAACTGCTGGAGAATACTGCAGCTTGAATGGTACAGGAAGGGCTACCTAGATGAAAGCACAGGGGTTAAAGATCTGTATTTCTGCTTGTGTCCCCACAGAATTTAAAGTTTTGGGTTGTTATCTACAGAACTATAAATAGGATCTGGTTACAAAAACAAAAAAAGTCCACATATTTTTCCCCTCATGGGAAAGTAACAAAATCCAGTACAGTGCAACAGCATTTCTAGCTCCTCTGTAGATCAGGCTCCAGGCACGTCAGTCTTCATGGGAGCTCTGAGTTTCACAGCCCTTTAACCAGAACTACTTCTACCTGCGTCTTCCACGCACTCTTAAAATCCCCTTTCTGGGGCATGGAAGTGCAGGAACGAAGAGACAGAGAGGAACATGAGAAGGTATGCTTGGAAAGACTTTTAGATAACTTTGTTTATACTGTATACGTGATAAAGTAAGATGTCACACTGATGTGCTTATTTAAAACTAATGGTGAGCTATCTGCAATACTTATTGCCAAAACATTTAGCTTCTCTGAAGGTATCTTCCCAATGAATTAAAAATTCACAGTCTTAAAAATATTTGTGGAAAGATGAAGGATGAGAATTTTTCCTAAGTCAGTTATGCCTAATTATATTGGCAGTTTCAGCACATAGATTTGACTCAATTTTTGCACTATTTAGACCGAGAAGACAAATCAGATTAACACAGAGTAAACTAGAGCTTGAATTTTGCAAGGCAATAGCTATTCCTCAGTAACTGCTGGTGTGCATCATCTTATTCCCCGCTAAATAATGTAACATAGCTTAGGGATGAGCTGTTTTGTTTCTATTGGTAAGTAAAACAACTGGCAGTTACCATTCAATAACTTTTGCTAGCATTTCTTACCTTAAATTATGTGCTTGTTTTCTCTGTGCATATTCACACACTGTAAGCACCTTATGTGCAGGGAGCACTGGGAACAGCTGCACTAAATCTGCTGGAAAAAAGTCTCCATTTGCTATTTTTACTATGAGAATTGGCACTCCAGAACAATTATTCTGATATTATCTAAGTTCATCTCATTTTATCATGAAGGACTGCTGGCTGAGTGATATCCTTAATCAAATTGAAGGATTTAATAACAAGTTTTCTTAGGGTTATAAAGAGCTTTCACTCACTGGGTGAAAAACAAGTAAATAAATGGCTACAAGCAAATGCATCATCTTTCAGACTGATCTGCAATGATGACATGCAGGGATGACAGTTTTGTTAGGCCTATAAGGTGTGTTCTGGCTTTAGGCACAACTTTAAAGCAAGAGGGGGGGAAAAAAAGCAATTGTATCTTCATTATTAAATGGGGTATTGTTTCGTGATCCATAGCCATACTGCAGCGTACTTCAGGCATGCTGTTCATGGACTAAGAATCTAAACTGAAGAAAAAACCAGCTCATAACATTGTTACTCTCTCCTTGGTAATAAAACTAGTAGGTGTTTTTACTTGAGTATACAGGGGTTGTGTTTTTTGAATGATGCAACCAATAAATATGACTTATCTTATATAAGTAAATAAATATTACATAGCATAAATCCAAAAAATTCTCTTGTTTTAAAGAGTTCTAAATGTTTACAACAGAAGAATCCAACATGCAACAGAAAGGACGCAATAATCTAAGGCAGTTTTACTAATACGAGAGCTACACTTTCTCTAAATTTTTGTCAATGCGTATCTTTTAGAAAAAGTACAACAGCAGTGCTTGACAACACCCAATAAAACTGCACACTTGTCAAGAAGACAATGCGGTTGTGCTTCTTTTTAGTTTTGGAAGAAGTACTTATGATGAACTCAGTTTTTCAATTTTCTTCAAATACTGTGCGGTACATATGACATTACATATGAATTCTGTATCAACTTCAAGCAATATCTAGACTCATATACTCCTACAACAAGCAGTATCTAGACATATATACGCGTACAGCAGGGGCCACTGCACGGCAAGGCACATGAACAATGACTGCGTGATTTCAGTGAACTAGAAGAAGTGTGAAAGGAAAATATTTTATCCAGTTTTATAATATAAGTTCTTCCAAATTACTTATAATTGCATCAAGGTCTTCTGATGATATCCTAAATAATAAAAATCAAACAAGAACATCAAGTAGCAGCATGGGGAAGGCGACGACGACCAGGAACACATACAAACAATCGCGTCAAGCTGCTTTGCCTCTGCGGCTACAGTGGAGCACGTTAATTTTGATTCTGGCTGCCAGACTCTGCTTCTCCCATCACGTCTCCCACCCAAACCCCCCAAACAAGCTTCGAGTGATTCGCGTCCAACTCC